GGAGCAGAAGGTGGTGGTGCTGGTGCTGGTGGTGCTGGCTCCGGTGGTGCTGGAGCTGGCGGAGCTGGAGCCGCCGGTGCTGCCGCCGCCGAGGCCGCCGCAGCCGGTGACGGTGCAGCGGCAGACTCTGGACTGCTGGGCTTGGTCAACGTTCTGGCAGACGCTCTCCAGACAGGGGCTGGTGGCGCTGGCGGTTCCGGGCTGGGGCCAGTCGGCGCCGTCGGCGCTGCAGGAGCGGGGGCGGGGGCCCTGGGCAGCCTCGTCGTCGACGCCGCCGCCCTCGCCGCCTTCTACTTCCTGGGCTCGTTTGTCCTCAACAGCATCGCCCCTCCGGCCGCCGGCGCCGGTGCCGGCGCCGCCTTCTGGCTAGAGGGCGTCACCCACAACGGCGTCGCCGCCTTCAATGCCAACCCGGCAGGCTACCAGGTCTTTCGCAACGTCAAGAGCTTTGGCGCCGTCGGAGAGTGAGTCGCTACCGTCGCGAATTTCCTCGAGACTGCTTACTCGACCCGTCCTCGCGGCGCCGTGGTGCATCGCGCTGACGCCATGTTGCCCCCCTGCCCTCTGACGCGGACGCAGCGGCGTCACCGACGACACTGCCGCCATCAACCGCGCCATCTCGGAGGGCAACCGGTGCGGCGCCGGGTGCGACAGCTCGACGACGGCGCCGGCGCTCGTCTACTTCCCTGCCGGAGAGTACCTGGTGTCGTCGCCCATCATCTCGTACTACTACACGCAGCTGGTGGGCAACCCAAACGACCTGCCCACGCTCGTCGCGGCGCCCGCCTTCGAGGGCATCGCGGTCATCGACGAGGACCCCTACCTGCCCGGCGGCGCCAACTGGTACACGAACCAGAACAACTTCTTCCGCTCCGTGTCCAACCTCATCATCGACCTCACGAGGATGCCGGCGACGGTGGGTACGGGCATCCACCACCAGGTCAGCCAGGCGACGGGCCTCTTCAACGTCCGCTTCCAGATGCGCACCGACGTCGGCACGCAGCAGGCGGGCATCTTTATGGAGAACGGCAGCGGCGGCTTCATGGCCAACCTGCGCTTCTTTGGCGGCAGGTACGGCGCCGTGTTTGGCAACCAGCAGTTCACGCTGCGCGACAGCCGCTTCGAGAGGTGCGGGACCGCCATCAGCCAGATCTGGGCGTGGGAGTGGACCTACAAGGGCATCGAGATCGAGAGCTGCGGCCTCGGCATCGAGCTGCGCACCGTCACGCCGACCGGGGCCGCCGACGGACCCCAGGGAGCCGCGTCGGTCCTGGCCACCGACTGGAGCATCCGCAACACGCCCCAGGCGTTCCGGCTCACGACGCCGGGCGCCGGTGTGCTCGTCCTCGACAACATCGAGACCATCAACGTCCGCAGCATCGTCATCGAGGGGCCAGCGGCAGCAACACCCGTCGCGGGTCCGGGCGCGCCAGCCGCTGGTGGCGGGCAGGTCCTGCTGGCCGGATCGACGGGCACGCGGACCGTGACGAACTGGGTGCGCGGTCCGGTCTATCGCGCCGTCGGACCCGGTGGCGGGCCGGGAGGTGTCCAGCGAGTGCAGGGCACCCTGGCGCCCTGGATCCGAAGGCCGAGCGTCCTGGTCCAGGCTGGCGATGCGAGGCAGCGGTGGTTCAAGCGCGACCGGCCGCAGTACCAGGACAAGACGCCCGCCGACTTTGTCAACGTCAAGGACTACGGATGCCGTGGCGACGGGCGCACCGACGACCACGACCGCTTCCAATCGGTGCTCGACGACTTTGCCAGTCGGAAGATCATCTGGGGTGAGTGGAGGCGGCTGTCGCAGGCGGCTCGCGACTCGGGCCTGCGATCGACAAGTCGCGACGATGCTGACCGATTCCTCTGCCGCTGCCTGTCTGCATCGCCGCATTTGCCCCCCCGTACAGTGCCTCACGGGACGTACCTGCTGTCGCGCACGTTGCGGATCCCTCCAGGCACGCGCATGGTCGGCGAGGTGTGGCCCGTCCTGATGGGCTACGGCTCGCGCTTCCAGAACGCCGCGGTGCCTCGCCCCGTGGTCCAGGTGGGCCGGCCGGGCGAAGAGGGCATCGTCGAGATCTCGGACATGATCTTTTCCACACGAGGACCGGCGGCGGGCGCCGTTGTGGTGCAGTGGAACATCCGGCAGAGCAGCCAGGGATCGGCGGGCATGTGGGACAGCCACATCCGCGTCGGCGGCACGGCCGGCTCCAACCTCGAGGCGGACCGGTGCGCGCGGCGCAACGCGCTGTCGCCCGGGTGCGACGGCAGCTTCCTCAACCTTCACCTGACGCCGTCGTCGAGCGCCTACCTGGAAAACGTGTGGGTGTGGACGGCGGACCACGACCTGGACCTCGGGAGCAAGCAGCAGATCAACGTCGTCTCGGCGCGCGGAGTGCTGGTCGAGTCGCGCGACGGCCCCGTGTGGCTGTACGGCACGGCGTCGGAGCACAGCGTGCTGTACCAGTACAACATTGTGGGCGCGCGCAACGTCGTCGTGATGCTGGCGCAGACCGAGACGGCCTACT